GGATTTAATCCCTCACAAATTGCGAGGGATTTAATCCCTCACAAATTGCAACAGATTTTTATTAATTTCTAAACATTTATTGTTAGAAATTAGTGACGGAAATTATATTGTTTGTGATGCCTTAATTCCGTCACTAATTGTGACGAAGAAAATAATCCGTCACTAAATATTTTGTGACGCCAAATTTTGTGACGGAATCATTTTCGTCACAAATTCCCTCACTAATTTATTTGTGACGGATTTTATGAAGATTAGTGACGGATTTATTCCCTCTCTAATTTTAATTTTTCTAGTAGTGCTAGTTGGTCTAATGTAATGTTTTCAATAACAATGACACTAGTAAAATAATTCTATGCAAGAGATTAATTAATAAAATTTGAGTACGGGACTAAAATAATAACTTTTTTTATTTTGAGGACTAAAACACATATTTAAAATTTGAGGGATCAAAAAGATATATTTTGAATTTGAGAGACCAAAATAATAATAAAAAATTATATTTTAGGAACTAAAATCACAGGTTTTGAAATTTAGTAACAAATAAAAAATACATACCTCAAATTTAAAGGACTAAAAATATAATTAAGCCTAAATTATATAAAGAGTTGTATTGCATGCATTGGTTGTAATATAAAATGGAGAATATTTGTAAATATTGTTATTACATAACACAATTTTAATAATTTTTTTTGTAATAAAAAGTATAAATTAGGACAAGACATAATCCTAGAGTCTACCACCAATCTTTTTGAAATTTTTTAGTGAGATAACAGATTACTTAACTTATCTCCAACATAAGTTCGCATGAAAAAATATAAAACATAAGAAAAATTAAATTTGATCCAAGTCCAAGATAGTAAAAGTAATTTAATCAATTGTGTCACTCTTGCTTATCATGTATTTTTAATGATGAGAGTGATTTTATAAGCATCTTTTTTAAGATGAGATAAATGTGTCTTGCTTTTAGTTTAGATGTTGGATATTATTAGGGGTGGCCATAGATTCATATAAATTTGAAAAATTGATAAACATGTCCAAAAAGAAAAAATTTTGATTTGACTCGGATCATCAATTCAAATTGGATTATGGATTTTGATGTTTCAAATCCAATCGATCAATTATATTATATATTTTTATAAGGATTTAGAATTCATCATTAGAAAATTAAGAAAAAAGAGTTATGCATTAAG